AAGAGAAGAGAAGAGAAGAGAAGAGAAGAGAAGAGAAGAGAAGAGAAGAGAAGAGAAGAGAAGAGAAGAGAAGAGAAGAGAAGAGAAGAGAAGAGAAGAGAAGAGACGAGACGAGAAGAGGAGGGGGAGGGCAGAGACGACCAATGGCGAAGGTGAAAAAGAAAGGCGTAGGAGGCCGAAGGAAGTCTCCTCGGGAGAAGACAGGTTCAAGGAACTCCACGAATTATAGAAAATACGAGGCCCTGCTGAACGGTTAATTTCTGCTACCCCTTGGCTAGTATCTCGTGGAATTATTGAAAGTGTTCGCGGATGAAACTTTTATCCGATTCGCCTCTTTCTGCACGGGCGGTACCAACGCTCCTCCGTAGGTAGAAGCTACTTTGCCAAACTGGTCGTTGTTGTTACATTTCTTTTTCTTCGTTCTTTAATGTCTTGGGTCTGGAAGCTGCGTCTCTAAGTCAATCAAACGGCGATAGATTGCCATTTTCATTTTGCCAGCGAAGATGATACGTATTCAGCTTGCTTGAATTCAGATGGCAAGTCTTTGGTTTTACTTGTTTGTTCGCGGTTCTTTAAAAGAGCATCGAGGATTGTTGGTTTCATATAAATTTGTTTAATCAGTGAGGTATGACGTATTTTATTTCATGAGCTCTGCACAACTCTTCACTTCATACTGCCTTATTCTTTCGTTCGAAGGAAAGTATGTTTCCGCTTGCTGCTAAATTTCATCAAATGTCTTCCCAACGTTTCAATGGTACAACAAATGACATTTCCAATTAATCGAACATAACAGTTCACCCTTCTTTTCTTTCATTAAGCCACCACCAAACAGCATCATTCCTATTGAATTAATATTTCCATCCTCGTCTTTCCACCCTGTCGGAAATCATCCCCTGAGAAAGGAAAGAATGAAGTAGAAAAATCTAAACTATAAAGAGGACCAAGAACCAGAAGAAATTCATCAAAAACATCCAGCACGTCGCAGCGAAGTTTCAAGCATCGTGACGACGCGCGACGTGTGGAAAAATGGCGGCGGCTCGCGTTCCAAGCTGTCAGAATGTCCCGCGGAGGGATCAGGCTTGCGGCACGAGCTACGTAACGCAATTAACCAGCGAGCAATTAATAACCGGCCGTTATAGATGCTGGCAGGAATCGTTCGATCGCATGGGATCGCGGGTACCGGTTCGTACGTGCGAGCAATATCGCTTCTACCCCCACTGTGTTCCCCCGTGCTCCACGGTTCCCCACCAAAGTGTCTTGGCTATCGTATCCCCCACTATGATAGCCTCACCCTCGCTCCGTTTCTCCCGCGTGTGTATATGCGCGTGCGTGCGTGCGCGCGCGCGCGCGCGCGTGTGTGTGTGTGTGTGCAGCTAAAACGCAGGAAAGGGAACGTAATAGCCTCGCATGATACACCGCCATTAATCCGTGTATATACCCTTCCATACTTTGGAGGAATAGACACCTCGTACGCCTCGGTTTCATAGCCGGTTCATCAGCCGGATATCTCTCCCCGCTCGGCTCTTCTTCGCCTCTTCCTGTCTTTTCCTCTCACTCGCGATGATTTAATTTCGCCCCGTTCCCCTCCCCCTCCTCCTCATTCTTCCGAAACTTTCGATTCGCAGCGTCGGTCTCAGTTATTTTATTCTTGGCGGGGTTGTTTCTCGTACTTTTCCAAGAGATTTTGATACACTTCGAGCGTGAAAAAAAGAAAAAAAAAAAAAAAAAGAAAACAGCGAGAAACGAACGAAATTTGAAGACTTCTAGAGGGTTCGATGCAGTTGTTAGCTCGTGACAAGACTACGTCAGTAAACAAAGGGAGAGAGAGAAATATCTGTCCATAGCGTTAATTGATGTACATTGATTATTTGGCGAGAGAAGAGTAATGATAATTCCTTCAGAATTTTTGGCAGAGTGACTTCACTGATTATTCGTTTCGATAAAGGCAACTTCCCAAGTGGGAAGTCAACTTGAAAACTCACCTGGAGGAACATTTCGCCATCGAGATGATGATGGTCGTACGCAGCAAACGCGGCCAACTCTCTCGCTCGGTAGTGCGAATCGTGGTGCGAATTTTCTTCCTTGTCTTTGTGCATCACCACTGCAACAGAGAAAAGTTCAACGTTTTTTTTTTTTTTTTTTTTTTTCCCCGGTTAGTTCGTTTTCCCAGTCGAGTTTTCAATTCGTCTGAATCAAGAAAATTCGCGGAAGTTCGCAGAACGAGAAATTCAAAGTAAAGGGACTGTGGAGGAACATTTCACATTCGACAGGATTCGCGTTTAATGGAACGATCTGGTTCTCGTATGCTTTGCAATTATAGCGTGCATGTTAAGCAGAGGAGGGCACGGCAGGTGTGACGGGCAACAGATCGACGGCTTATTATAGGGCTTAAAAGGAAGTGTCGCTCACATCCTGTCACGTATTGCCGGATCTTCTCCGCGACCGTTCTCCATTAATCTCCTTCCGTCGTTTAATACTTTCGGCCGTTCGGATCACTCGTTTCCCTTTTCTCTTTTCCATTCGATTCGATCGACGACGGGGATTACACAGGCCCCCGATAACAACGATTCTTCGAAACGTCGTCCGTTTCTTTCACGCGAAAGGATTCGACGTGAGAAGATAGAGAATGTGTCCACTCTTTCTCTTCTTGTTTTTTCGTTAAAGTTTCCTTTCTTTTTCGCTTGCACCTTGAATAGGAACGAGGAAGTGAACAGATTGAAGTAAAACGAATCACTCGAAATAAAGACGGTTTAGGAATTTTTTGTGGATGAATCAGGACGAGGTTAGTCATGCACTGTGACAACAATTGAATTACTGGTGGCGGAGCGTGGAGCATATAGAATAAACGAATAAACTGTAATTCTGGGAAATGGAATCGTGTTTTACAAGAACAATGAATAGACAGAGGTAGACGATAAGACGATAAGGTGGAAAATGTCTGATTATATACATTGCAGAAACTTTGTAAAGTCAAAGTAATCTGCGCAGACTTCCATTACTTGACCATTACTTCTAGAAGAAATTTTTTACTTCTATCCGTCATTGCAAGTCGAACTCTGATTAAACAAAACTCGAGTTACCTTGATTACTATTAATAACGAATATATTACATGAGGAAACATTTTTCTTCGTCAACAATACAATCACAATTTCAATACCTCAAAGTACCAATATCATAAAACATTCCTGCCTACGCGAGAAAGGCATTATTTCTTTCGAGATCGTAAATCCCGAACGCTGAACTTTTGAAGCGTGCAATTCTTCTTCACTGTAACACCGTATGCAAAACAAAATCCTATGGGAGGCCGAGGAAAAAACAACACAAAAACCAGATCCTCTGCGTGGACAGTGGACACTCGCAGAGAGAAAGTGAAATACTGCAGGAGGATAGTAACGCACTAAGTATGCAAGTACGATGAAAACTGGCCTGAAGGGTCGCGTGGCGTACGCGTGCTTCATGCGAAGAGCATTGCGTGCACCTTTTTATGAACGACCATCGGCCAAGTCGCGCATCTTTCATGCACGCATCGATACCCTTCGACGCTAAATGCTTCCACGGAGGAGGTTGTTCACTTTCGAAACGCATCGGCGGACTCGTATCGTCATCCTCTCTCTCTCTCTTTCTTTCTCTCTCTCTCGAACCGACGCGGCGGTGCTCGCAGGTGGTCTTGTTCTTATTCGTGCACGATCAGCGACGACGAACGACGCACGACGAGCGGCGATACGACGATGGTGCTTTCACTTCACCTCGGCCTGGAACTCCTGAAATATCGTATTTTACCCGGTCGCGATCGGTTTCTTCGTGTAAATGATACGAAAATCGTGTGTCGACCTCGTGGGGCCCACCACGTTACCCGTGCACGCCGTGCGACAGGTTTCACTTCCACGTTTCGAACGCCCCGGCGAATTGTTTTCTCGGCGCTCCGACGACAGCGAGACTTCATTCGCGGATAAAGCGTAGATAAAACGTGAATAAGATAGAATCCGACTGGAAAACTGACTTGTTCTCTGTCATTTTCTACTTTAAGATTTAAACTACACGGCTTGTTTGTTAGATTTCATTGGAATTTTAAAGACACTTGCCGCGTGCTTATATTTAGTAAGAAATTATAACTAACCTCGCGGCAATTTTATTTCGAGTTCTCCTTTCAACAGGTTTGAGTTACCACGAAGGATGTACGCTTTTCGTATATTTTCGGGGAATTATAAAATTTAAAATTATTAATATGTAAATCAAGCTACTGGAACTAATCAGTCACTAATCAGTCAATAAATGGAACTTCGTGTCTTTCATTTGAAAGGAAGGAGATGTTCCAACTCTACAAAGAGTCGTCGCGATCGTTGAATTCGATCACTTGCCATTCGATTCACCGTGAAATCGATGGATCGTTGGGCGCAAGTAGTCGGGCGCACGGTCGTTTGACGCGTGCAGGAATCCCGACGGAAACGCGGACAGTCATCGATCGGGGGAAGCATTAGCCACGGTCATTAGCCGGTGTAGATGGATTGAAAGAGCATTGAAAATCGAATTGTCGTTAGGGTAAATAATGCGGGTGCGCAGCGTCGTATCCTGCGGTACGCCGTTATTCCGTCGGTCGTCCGAAATGGGATCCTGTCCCGGATGGTCGCGTGGCAGAAACGCGCGGCCGCTTCACGACATTGCGTGCCACTATTTACGAGTGAACAACCTCCGTGTTGCTCGTCCTTCCTGCACGCGCGTCGTTCCTTCTCTCGAACGGTCCCTTTTCGACAATTCGCCGCTTATCTTCTTCCCCGTTTCCTCGCCGGGGCAACCTGTTACTGCTCCTCTTCCTCGCTCCCCCTCATTTTCTCATCTGTGGATTTTTATTCTTGGAAAGTTGGAAACTTGACGACAAAAGTCACTTTGTCAAAGGATAGAGTTTGTATCGAAGAGATGAAAGAACGAGAAGTGGGTGGGGGGAGAGAGGGAATTCCACATTACGTATAAACGTCTTGAAACACATTGTGTACCATACTTGGCGCGTCTAACCTGCTCTCAGGACCTGCACATTTTTGGAACAATAGGGAAACTTTGCACAATGCATATATATATGCACTTCTTCGATTCACACTGATAAAATATTTTTAAATATTACTATACATTTTATATAGTAATATTTAAGAATCTATTTATTATGTATTTTCACTATTATTTACTTTATATTTATAGTAACACATTGAGGACGATGTGTTATTAAACATATAGATTGTATTTCCTCGCATATTTTGAATTATTTAATATATGATTGAAAGGATTCAAGAGAATGTATGGCATTTAACAAGTGTATTATTTTATTAATAATTAGAATGTAAATAAAACGAAAATGCCTTTAGTGACGTTTCTTAGTGTGGTATGTTAGGAAACAATTTCCCTACTTTTTTGAATTTTTATACATTTGCGTAGCCCGTCCGTAATGTGTTAAAATTTCAAGAAGAAAATTAGTAGTATTGTCAGCCATCGGTTTCAATTTCGAAATTTGAGAGCGTAAAAAATATTATAACACAATTGTACAAACGACAATACATCAGAGCCGAGCAATTCACTAAATTCGATTCACTGATCGTTTGACAGTTGTTTGCAACAAAGGAGAATGCACCTACTCGCATGGAAAGACCCCGGAGTGTTTGCGCGTGTGTGAGCGTGTGTACGCCACCGGAAGAAAGATGTCGCGTACGTCACGGAAACGCAACGAAAGAAACGCGAAATGAAGAAAAGTGCCGGCAGATTAGGATCAATCCGTGGAACAACGGGAGAGATGGATGCACGGCGCGATGAGTCCGTGAGATCGGTGTGTTAATAATTGCGCTTGTTGGCGCAAGGTCGGCCTCGCGAGGAGGCCGACGGACCGGACCGGAAGTCGACGGAATAAAAAGCGACGAGAGGCCAATCGGAATGCGCGAGCATCGAGCGATGGCGTACCCGCGGAGGCTCTCCATCGACGCGTGGATCTTCCTCGTGTGTGCAACGCTTCGAAACACGCGTGAAACACGATCTTACACACGAGGGAGCGAAAGTTTACTCGTCATGCTTGTTTGCCGAACGATTTAGGCTACGTTTCGAGCCCGACACGCTCCACCGAGGTAGAGAGGCGACGGGGATTGAATTAGTCAAGCTGTGTTGACTATCGGGTGTGGACATGTCCATCACTCACTCGCCGTTTAATTTTCTCTGATACGGAACGTGTCTAGAGAAAATTAACGCGGTAGAATTCTGTTAAATTTGCTCGTCCGCGCTGATTCTATCCGACACGGAATACCGTGGTTGAGTCTACTTGACCGATAAAGAAGGTTCGACTCGACAAAAGTCGTCGCGTGGAATGACAATTAAAGCGACATGCATTGAATTGATTAAACTGTTGACTATCGGGTGTGGGCATGTCCATCATCCACTTATCGTCTAATTTTCTCTAACAGAGAAATTGTTCAGAGAACGTAATAGAATTCTGCTTGTACGGACGAAATTTTAGTTTAGTGTCCCCGTGCTGGATGAATCTACTTGTCTCGGCTGCATTCTGTCGGACTCGCGCTGACCAGATCTACTTACCACTCGAACGTAGTTCGTACAACGTTATCGAGAAATTACTGCAAAATTGCTACAAAACAGCGTGGACGAGATAATATTCGAAACGAACAAACATTTACAATTAACAAACGTGTAAACTGTGTGAGCTTCCTTCTGATTAGCTCGTTTCGCGTCTTATTTAGACATGATCAGAGTTTAAATAACATTTCGAGCAGACGAGATACTGCTGTTCCCTCGCTAGGATGACGGTGCGTTTCACGCAGGCCGACTCGTCCCGGCTAAGTGAATGGTTAAGCAAGCGATTATCTTCTTGAGCGTATAATCGATCGATGATTAATGGGATCGGCGGTTGTCGGATGCGGTTCCAATTAGGAAGCGTCCCCGATGATCAAAGCGTCGATACGCGTGCCACCGCTTGATTGTTTCAGTCCACGAGGCTCGTGCGATCCGATGGGCGTGCCGTTGATCATTTTTTTTAATTTTGTCCGTCACTTTCGCCAAATCGAGCCTCCTTCTCGCTTTATCATTCGTCAAGATCATTCTGTTTGGCAATTTAA